GCCGTTTTTTGTGTGCGCACGCATGGAGAGGCGGAGGATATGGCTATGGCAAGGAACGTTGTTCCGGAGCCCCAGACAGAGGAAGGGTACGAAATGGGCGTCTATATGCTCATCCGGCGCTACAGCGCAGCAGAGGATGAGTGCCTTCGCGCAACGGGAACACGTTGAGAGGCGGCACTCACCACAGGAATGATAAAGCAGCAATATTGTGAGGGCTAATCAGACGGCCTCGTCCTTTGCCAGGACGGATGCATCGACATGGTGTCTAGAACAGCGATAGTTGGAGTGCCGGGGCTGTCAGACCGTCAGCGTGTGCGCTCAGTACAGCACGGCAAGCAAAGACTTGCCTCCTTGATGTGAACCCCAGTGCATGTCGGCGTGTAGATGGGGCTCCGACCATTGTCTGAAGCGCAAGTAGGCGATTCCCAATTAGCCGTTGTGCTCGCGGGCCGTAGCGCGAACATACCCGTGCGCGCGCCCGTTGGGCAAGAAGATCTGCGTCGCGAGTAATGTCAGCGACTGCATGACGCGTAGGGAGGACGTTGGACACCTGCCGTTAGTGCGCGTTCTTTGCGCGCAGCCGCTTAGGGCGAGAGCGCATGTAGCGGTGGCGATTGCGATGGTGTTGGACACAAAAGGCACGACAGGGTGGAGAGTGGGCGTCGCTCGCCTTGGGCGGCAAAGCGACAAAGCGATGGCACATTGACAAGGTCGTGGCCACTAGTGGATAGGCCTCAGGGTGCGGAGGGGCTTTAGGAATGCAATGGCGACCGGATCTCGAGGTATTTACGACGCACCTGGGTCTGCCGTTAGATTCATACCTTCCCTATCCTCTCCCTACATGATGCTCGCACAGTCGCCGTCTTCGAGAACGCGTGCATTTATAGGCGTCGAGCGAGTGACGCCTGTAGATGGTGATCGAAGTCGAGGTCCGTGGTCGAGAGAGCAATCCTGATGGTGAGTGGCTTGTAGAGGTTGTTGACGCGCTGCGAAGGTATGTGTCGTGTTTGGATGCTCGGGATGGGATGCGCATGGTCGCGGGTGGTCTGGTGTCGTTTGCGGGAAGGTAAAGAACGGGGGAAATGATAGGCAGGAGGACGTGAGGGACGCGGCTGGGATGACGGTGGGTGATGCGGTCGATGATGTGCTCGAGAGGACAAGTAGAGAAGGGCGGAGGAATGAGGGAGCCAGAGGTGGTGTGGGGGAGGAGACGGGGTGGGCCTCCGGTACTGGAGCAGGTGAGTGCGCATGTTGAACTGCGGTGGATTGTGTCTGAAAGAACGGCAGTGTTGTGTGTGCTAGATTGTTGAGTGTCGACGCGTCGTTCGTTCGCGTTTGTCACGTTACCACGCGGGGGACAGAGGATTTAAACACAAGCGACGCGGCGACCTGAGGCCCAGACGCCCAACCACCCTCTCCACCCACCACCCACCACCCACCACCATGCGCAACAACGTCTCCACCAATCTCGCCATGTCCGGGTTGCCCTGGATTCCTGAGGATGTGCCGTGCCCTCAGGGCGTCGGGCAGAGAACGATGGCAGGCTTGTGGGTAAGTGTGCAGCATCTCACTCGTCGCGTCGTCCGGCACTTACTTATGATTGGGGTGTGCAGGGCGGTGCGGAGCTCATTCCGTGGTTCGGCGCAGATGAGGAAGAGGAGGACGAGCTGGCGTGGCTGCAAGGAGAGGCCGTGGCTGAGGAGGACGAGGGGGAAGGAGGGGATGGGGATGGGGCGGAGGGAAACGATGATGCGGATGGCGAGGGAGGGGTAGACGGGGCAGTAGGCTCTGAGGAGAGCTCCGAAGAGGAAGATGGTCAGGACGAGACAGACGAGACAGACGAGACAGACGAGGAGGACGAGGAGGACGAGCATGAGGACGAGGATGAGAACGAGGACGAGGACGAAACAGATGGTAAGCTCTGCTCCTTTCAAGGTAGACAATACGCTAATATCCCCAATTTCGACAGACGTCGAAGAGGCAACCGTCATCGCCTCCGAGGCCTACTTCACCGTCCCTGGACCTCGTCCAGGCAACTCTGCGCTCACGAGCGCTCCCCTTAACGGTAAGCATTGATATTCTCGTACCTCAATGTGGTCGCTCATCTCGGCCCTCCAAGGTGTCGTGGTCCGGCGGTCGACCCGGATACAGGCGCAAGGGGTCGCGTCGTCGTCGACGGCTCCGCCACCCAGCCAAGGCCCCATCCCAAGGCCGGGGAGAGGCCAAGCAGCAAGTGGGCGGGGGGAGCCGGCAGTCGTACCAACGGCTGCGTTGTCGGCGAAGGTCCGAGGCAAGCAGCCTCAGACACGGGCCCGCCCCGCCGGAAAGGAAACCAGGTCGGCACGGCCTACAACGCGGGCGACAGCAACGGAAGCGAGGAGTACGTCGTCTGTCCCTCT